AGGAAGTTTTATCCTGGTTGTAAGGAATGGAAATTCTGCAGCCACTGAAATCTTACTGCTGGAAACAAATGCATGCAGGCTGAGGTGTTTGTGTCCTCCACAAACCTGCCGGTAGTGTCTTACTAGCATGTGCACTTCTCTTCATTAGAATGGGTGTTCATATAATTACAGTAAACGTGAGCTGATATTGCTCTGAAGGCACTACATTGTATCCCATAATGCCAACTTCCCTTGACCATCAGCAGCTCAGAGGGAATAACCAAGAGTCGTCATTTATGCCACAGTAAACAAGTCACTTGTGTTTATTTAGATTTGATTGGACATTCAATCGCTGACTGATAACCTACTGTAATAAATGCAACCAGCTCATGTGACTAAATTTGTACGGACCTCAGCACCTGGAGACAAAGGGCGAGATAACTCTAGTGCTGATATGAATTTATTTATTGTCCGTCTCGTGAATCAAAGTGGGTGCTGGTTCCACAGAAGGCGGCCAGAAAGCTGCAGGCTCTGCCTCCCATTCTACTTTAAGTAACCTGGGAACCAGGAGTAAGCCTGCAGTATGAGAGGAATTTGTTTGGCTTCTGTTTGAACAAACAACACATGACAGGTCTGGACTGCAGGCCGCTTTTGAACCTTTTACTGCAGAGCCATACTACTGAAGCATATGCTAACATGCCTTTATCCTTTCATTTACATGTATTACAATTAAGGAACAGAAAATTGTTCCAGACCTACTGATTAACTATCATTCAGTGGTAGCATGTTCTTACCAATCATTGGCCCCAAACCAAACTCACTGATCATGGAGAAGCCGTAAAGCTGCAGGAAAAGAATAAAACAGGACAGTTAACGCTCACATGTCTAATATCACCTCATACTCTTACATGTAAGCCTTTTACTATAAAAATAGCATGAAATGTGTTGTAATCTTTGCTCCTCAGCAATTATACTCACTGGACACTTTATAGGGGACACTTGTTCAACAAGTTGTTAACGCAAATACACAGCCAATCACATGGCAGTAACTCAATTTAGGGATGTAGACAAGGTCAAGAGGCTGATGTTTAAACTGAGCATCAGAAAGGGAAAAGAGGTGATATAAGTGTCTGTGAACATGGCGTGGTTGTTGGCTGGTCGGCGCTGATGATGGCTGATGTCAGATGGGGGTCACTCCTCTCAGCAGTAAACTGAGGCTACATTTACTGTCCAAAATTTGGACAGCAAAAAACTGCACAGATTTGGTATTTTGAGACAGTTTCTGTCTGCTAGTTTTTTCACATGTGAAGTGAGTTCACTGTGCTCAAAGGGTCTCTGCAGTCACCAGATCTCCACCTGACAGTGTGCCTTCAGGATGTACTGGAACAGAAAATATACTTTCTAGACAATCAGCCAACAACTGAAGAATGTTTTGAGGACCTATCGATCTATGAAATGAAGAATCGCGGTAGTTCTGAAGGCAAAACGGAGCCAACCTGCACCACCTAATGAAGGGACTGTGTCAAGTGCTGCACAGCAGGGGGAGCCAAAAACCTGGTCTAATCTCCCCTGTGCAGGCTTCATAATCAAAGAGTGTTCTCACAGTCTTGCAGCACACAGTGGAAGATGTTTCCTGACTGTTGCAGTACAGTGAAGACTTACTGTAGGAGCAGCTAGCAGTAACATGACTGCACAGGTGGTGGCTCGCTTCCCCAATTTATCAGAGATCACGCCTGCTAAGACGCCCTCTATACGACAGAAAGACACATTCAGTCGTTAATCATCATAATACTTCATGGTAATCATATTGTACATTGCTTCATAAACCCTGACAGCTGGTCTCTATCGGGGTTAATTATCACAAACCTAAAACCACAGACATGCAAAACATGCACGAAGCTTCCAGGTCTGAAAAGTGAAGCTGAATAGATTTTAAACCTGCATTCTGTCTGAAGGCCAGCAGGGAGAGACTCTTTCTGTGTATGCACAGTGTGCATGTCTATGGGAAAATGTCCCTCTGTTCTTTTGCTCTGTAAACTGCATGGCTTCATTTTCTAGATCACAAATCTGAATATTAGTAGAACCTGGGACCATTTCGTGGCCTTTGCGTTTTTTAATTCCACGCCATTTCCACTGTGTTTAATGGAACATAGCCAAATTTTCAAACATGTATTTTTTTTTTCATTTTATTTTAAAATTTCAGTCTGAGTTTCTTAAATGAGCTTAAATGGCTGAGCTAAAGGCATACATCCACTATCGAACCTCGTGGCCGATTTCTGCCCCATTGAAACCCATTATAAA